CTATCATCTTATTTTAGTTTTTTATTTAGGAAAGGAAGAGGAAACGGTGGGAGGAAAAAAAAAAGGAGAAAAAAAAGATAAGTGAAATTTATTATTAGATGGAAATTTAATGCTAAACAAAATGAAAATTTGACAAATGTTTGATATCACTTTTTAAATTTCTTAAATTCTTTTTCTCATTGTTTGCCGTTTAGGTATGGAATCATTTTTTTCTTTTTTTTTTTTCCTCCCTTTTTTTGTCTTTTTTTTTTCTTCCCTTTTATTCAACAAAATGATGAAGAGGGTGGATGAGGGATGAGTAAAAGTTCATTGCGAGTACTTTTTGCTTCTTGTTTTCTTTTTTTCTTTTTTTTTTTTTTTTAATGACAGCAGAAAGAACAGCCTAGTATTTGGTTGGAATTGTAGATGAACTGGCTTGGAACGCTTTCTAGCAAATAACCTTTTATTCACCGTTTCAGGATATATGATAATAGATTATTGATATATTGAGCGTGATGTATTAATTAGTTAGAGAAGAAAATTTTTTTTAGTATGACGGCATTTTAATGTGGATTAACGGTGAGGCAAATACTTCGCCGGCATTTTCTAATTGGGTATTATTATTATTATTATTGTTATTCGAAATGCTGTTTTAGTAATGAAAATTTTTCACTCGAATTGTTTGTTAATTGTCCAAATTTCATTTCTATTCTATAGGATCTATCCTAGAATTAATGTTTCGTCAATTTTCTTTTTTTGTTTACTCTTTGAAATTTTGCATTAACTAATTGTTATTTCTAACAATAAAAAAAGCTTATTCATTATTCAGCGATGAAATTCAAAGATCAGTTCAAAAAAAAAGGAAAAGAAATGGAGCAATTTACATAATAATAATAATAGAGCATGAACGTAATATTGAAAGTACTATTTCAAATAACACGTTTGATTTCGAAGTTTTTGTTAAGTTATTTCGGATATAAATATGTACCATAAATATGTTTTTTTTTTTTTTATTTTTTAACGAATAACACTGTTAGATTATCTATTTCACGTAAGATGAACTTATTATGGATTAAAGCATTGATCTGGAATGACCTAATGTTATGTTATTAGTTGCAATACATCATTATCTCTTTAATGAAAATGAACTCTCTTAATATGATGAGAAAGGATGAACTTATCAAGGATAATGACATTTTCTGTTTTCAAAATTTCTTCCTCATATCATGAATAAATTTATGATGCTTTGACATCTTTGGTTTCAAATAGGCATTATTGATCAATTATTGATAGTCGCATAATAAGTTGTCTCGACAAATTTATCAACTTAAGCAAATACTCTAAAGTTAGGATAACAAGATATTTACGAATAATAAATTTTATTAATTTCAAAGAATTTTCCTCCCTAGAAAGAGATAGAGGGAAAATACTCGACCAATAACAAAACCTGAGAAATTTTTTTATTTATTCATTGGAATTATTTAAATTTAAAGTATTAACCTGAAAATTGAATTAATTTTCAACCGAACATTACTTCATTCAATTTTCACTTTGAATTATATTTCAGCTTGATCCAATAAGCAAACAATTTAAACAAAATAGAAAAATCATGCCTTTTTTTTTCTTTCCCAAATTTAAAACTGTCGTCTTCAATTGGAAATTCTTCTTTTTTTAATTTATCAAACAAGAAAGAGCATTTGTTCCATCAAAGAAGCTTTAATTAGTGCTTGCTTTTAGCGATATTTTGATTATGTATTGCCAAACAGAAAATT